TTCAGTACATCAACATGTTGCCTTTGCAACTAACTGAAATAAAATAATTGAATGCTTTAATAGTTTTAGTTTCATATAATAACCCTGGAAAGAGTTGGGGAACTTTCAGGCAGTTTGCTGTGCAACAGCCCTTAACAAGGTAAGAACACCTAACACATGGCCTCTCTTGGCATTGTGTTTAATAGACCGCTTCTTTGATTCTAACATGAGCAATCTAGCATTTGCAGTGTGTACTTGCGTGTTGCTAGCAGTGAGTGTGAGTTTGACTAAATGCTGTTCTGTCACGCTGACACGGAGGGCATGAGAGGGAGGGAAAGAGAGAGAAGGTGTGAATGTGGTGATAAAGGACAGTATTCTTCTGCTTGTGTGTCTGGGTCTCAGCAGAGGGTTCAGTGGGTTAGAGCAGACCAGCGTGACCATGTCAATAACACAGCCAGTACTGAGTGAGCGGCTCCCTTATCTCCTTCATCCGCCGCTTGCTTCTCTTTCTGTGTCCACTTGTTTTTTTCCCTCCCTCATTGTTCGTCTCTGTTTACTCTTTTCCTCTCGGTTTCGTAAGCTATTTTATCTTTCATTCAACCCTTTCATTCTCTCCTCTGATCCGCAGCACCTCTCTCTTGCTCTCTCTCTCTCTCTCTCTCTCTCTCTCTTTCTGTTTCTGTCTTTCTGTCTGTTCTTTCTATTCTTCAAGTCAAGTCTACTGTGACGGTGTCTGCGATAAACCAACAGACAAAAATCTACCTAACAGAATGTCTATGCAAAAAAATGTCATTTGCATCTGCATCTGCATGATTTGATATTTTGTTCATCAGTTTTTCCGGAGTGTATATATTGTCTACCTGGGAAAAAAAAACACTTCGCAGCAGCATGTCTGTGTTTTGTTTTGGTTTGAAGGACGTTAAAGAAAATTTGTTAGCTAAGTTCAGTTTTTAAAAGTAACCACAAGACTTGTGTTGGTGTGCAGTGGTTAAAAATGAAGGTCTTCTTGGAATGTTCCTACTTATGAGTTTAGAAATGGTAATTGCAGTACCACATGATGTACGTTCAAGTAATTTTAGTCTGGACAAAATGGACTAACCGGACAATTCACTTTTTGACAAAACCAGGAAGCTTTTTAGTGCCAATGCAACATAATGAAGAGCAAAGGATGCACATTATGTGTGTAACTGATGCTTTATTTATGTGTTTTATCATACTAGTTTGGCTGTAGAGAATGATGGGAAATGTAGTTTGATGTGACATGTCTCCTAATAAACAAGCTAAATGAATAATATTTCCTGGCTGCATTTAGCACACAAAATGAATACATTCTGATTTTACTGCTAATATTCACAATTGTTGTGATCAGTGGCAATTTGCTTCCCCTGTGATTCTTGAAATTACACATCATAACAGCTCATGAGCTTAAAGAAAGTCCTGATTTTTCCCACTAGTAGTTTTGACTTGATGATTATGTGCTCAACTTGAAAATATGATCATTCTGACATTAACTGAATGCACCATAAATGGCAGTTTACAACAGACTCACAGAAAACCCACAGGAATTACATTGCTAATGCAAAACCAGAAGTTCATCCGCCTAGAAAAATAGTCCCACTTTAAAAGGGACATTTAGTCAATTTTACAGCTCAAATAACATGTTAAATAATTCATGTAAGTTTTTAATGAATACAGCCGTTACATTTATGTTTTAAAACCCTCTGGAACCCTCTGGCCTGGTTTACTTTCATTGTAAGTACACCACCATTCAAAAATGGGGGGTCAGTAGTTTTTTTTTTAATTAATTAATATTCAGTAAGGATGCATTAAATTGATCAAAAATTATTCTAAAGACTTTGAAAAAATTTAGATTTTGATTTCAAATAAATTCTGCTCTTTTGAACTTTCTCTTCATCAAATATATTAAAACATTAAGCACAACTGTTTTCAACATCGATAATAAAGAAATGTTTCCTGAGCAAATCAGCATATTAGAATGATTTCTGAAGGATCATGTGACACTGACTGGAGTAATGATGCTGAAAATTCAGCTTTGCATCATAGGAAGAAATTACATTTTTTGAAGTTGTTTTGAATTGCATTAATAGATTACTTTATTGCCGTTTTTATTTGATCAAAGAAATGCAGCCTTGGTGAGCATTAGAGACTTTTCAAATACATTTTAAAAAAATCTCACAAACCCCAAACTTTTGACTGGTAGTGTACTGTATGTTACTGTAAATACAAGTTTTGCCTGAGCCACAAGTCCATTGTTTTCTATGCCACAAATACTGAAGTTGTGTTGAACTCAAAAACATCCCTTTAAAGTCATGTGTGTGCGGGTATTGGTCAGTCTAATTGTAGTACGTGAAGTGTGTGTTGAGTGTCTGTTCTCTCCGCTGTAAGAGCTACTGATAACCTTCTTAACCTGTGTGACAAGAAGGCTCTTCTCTCATAGGAATGCCACACACACACACACACACACACACACACACACACACACACACACACAGC